ACGACTTTTTTTATCAACAATAATCGTGAAATTTACTGTTCATAGCAGAAGAAATAAGAAAAATTATTAATAAAATTCACAAAATTAATATTGATTAGTTATTTTGGAGAATAGCTACAACATAAGATATTGATTTAACCGAAAATATATATAACGACAACCTAACTATAGTTATTTTCACCGAATTTGGCATATACATGCAGTAATGTTTGACAAACTTATATACAGACGCATTCTACTTCTCTCCATGAATGTATGTTATTCGAGGACATTTTCAGGCTGAATTTTCGTGAAAAAAAACTGTAGAAAAATTGGAAAATTGAATTGAAAAAATTCTCTGAGCAAAACTCAAACTTTCATCCTAACTTCATCAAAAAAAGTTTATCATCGAAAGACACGATAATTGAGCTAATAGATGAAAAGTTAGGTTTAAAAGTTATATAAGTATATGCAGAAAAATACAAGCTTTATGCTTTATGGTATTTGTAGAAACTGAAACCAATGAAAAACCAACACAAAATATAGAAATTGGGATCTAGTAAGACACGACGGGAATATTTTAAACCAAATTATACATAGATAGGATCATTTATGCAAATAAATCCAAAGCTAAAAATGTAAAAACAACAAAATCCGTCCTGTATAAATAATGCACTATACGTCAATATCCCTTACAATGAAGAGAAACTTCACATTATCTTCAAATATCTTTAGATAGTCGGATACTGCAACTCCTGCTCATCAGGCAAATGAAAATAGATTTAAACTTTAATTTGTAACACAAACTTTATTAACGCTGATACTCCTCCAACTTTTTTTGATGTTCAACATCAGATTTGTTAATGTACACCGACAATCTTATCAACACAATCAAGAACATAGAAGTAATTCCACACATTGGAGCAGACCAACATTCTATAATGCAGACATACCTCTAAAACAACATTTCAATGAAGCAAACATCGAAAAAAATAATAATAAAATTACCCAATTAATTTCAAACGCTAATATTACCACTAAATGGTAACGTACAACCATGGCAAATAAACATGCGTTGATAGAAGAATTAAACAAACTAAAGAAAAGTGATCCATTTGACCCAATTGACATTATAAGTTGTGATAAAGAAAGAAATGAAAATTTCTGAAAAATGTACCTATGGTGAACAAAATGTGTCTATAGAGCTTTTAAGATCGAAAATTATCTCAAATCGAATCAAAATATATGCTGGAACTAAATAGCGAACTAAAAGAACAAATAAACAATCTAGAAATCATTATTCATTTACTAAAAAAAGTAACCGTCCAAATAACATTTCTAACGAAGAAATGAACAATGTTGCTAGAGTGACAAATTTTTCTAAACAAGCTTTCTCCAAACCAAAATTAACCAAAAAAGGAAATGTTCCAGGATCAAACAGGATCTACGCATAATACGATCTTACAGCAAGATACCTCAACTTCAATTAAGGATTTACAATCCTGGTCTGCAATAAATAATGTGATAAATCTTAACAATACAAACCAGCAAAAAATAATTAGTATAGATCCTACAGATGAAAAAACATGTAGGTGAAAAGCCGTTTATTTTCGTTAGTAAGTACAATCCTTTCTATTCAGCGAAAATAAAAGAAATGGAAAATAATATTGAAGAAATAGAACACGTAGACCAAACCAAGAACGGTTAAATAAAATTCCATGAGGTAAAGTTGAAGTTGAATTTGGAAGGAGCTGTAAATTCTGCTCGTGTTAAAGCTCCAACTTTTGACAGGAAAATGTCATGGACGAACTACCTTAAGCAGTTCGAAACAGCTATCAGAGCAAACGAATGGTCTGAACGAGAGAAGGCAATACATTTGACCATAGCCTTTGAGAAGACGCTTTGGATGTCCTTCAAACTATACCTGTCGAAGAGACCGATGATTTTGAACAACTAAAAAGAGACTCAACATGCCGATATGGTCAAGAACATTTGGAGGATCTATACCAGTCACAGTTAAAGAATCGCAAACAGAAACGAAACCAGACCCTTCTAGAATATGAAGTAGATATTGCCAGGTTGGTGCGATTTGCTTACCCATCAGCTCCGGAAAACATGATGGAATGTTCGGCAGTCCAAACATTTGTTGATGGATTCCGTGACCACGAGATGCAGAAAACACTTTGTTTAGCTCGCCACAAAACATTGGTTGATGTCTTGTCCACTGCTTTAGAATATGAGGCAGCTACGCAGGCTTCTGGTGGATACAATAAAGTGAGGACCAAAAAAGAGGAAGAAGAGGAAGCTAAACTCGACCAACTGGTAAACATGATGAAGAGCCTTACTGACTGAAAGATAAAGACAAAGATGATCAGGTGCTGCAATTGCGGTGAACTGGGACATGTACGCAATTCGTGTAAACGCCGTAGGATCACAACGAATCAAGACAACACGCCGCAGGAAAACTAGAGTGGGTTGGCCTAGAGGGGACAGTTTCGACCCGAAACCATTCCAAAGACCCTCTTATACTGATAGCCTTTTTGAAATGTCGCGATGATAGTGTATACGTAGACAGCGAAGTAAATGGTAAAAAGTATACACTGTTTGTCGATACTGGAGCAACTAGGACTATTATACAACCAACAACCATAAATAACCGTAAGAAATTTCTACCAACAAGAATACGACTACGGACTGCCACAAGTGAAAGTGCCAACATCCATGGGGAAATACAGGTTCAATTGGGAATAAGTACAGAAAAGTTCACTCATATTGTAATTGTCGCTGATATCGAAGAAGATAAGTTACTGGGAATAGATGTAATGAACTTCCTTAGTTTCCAGTAATACTTTAAGAACAGAGTGATCAAAGTTGGTGCCCAAGAGGTATTCCTACATTCATATGGGGACAGTATCGTGCCAGTTGCTATACAGGAAGACACACTGGTACCTGGCGGAAGTGAAACCGTTATAGTAGCACAGTTTCAAGAAACTATGAAAGAAGGAACATCTGTCATGATGGAACCTTGAAACTACGATGAAGAGGTTAGACGAGGAATTCTAATCGGGAAAGAATTGGTCACGACTGCTAAAGGAATTCCAATTTGTCTTATAAACGTTAATGATCACCCAATTACTATCAAGAAAGAGACCAGAATCGGAACTTGTTTATCAGTAACTTCCGTAATTCGTCAGACAATAACTTCTGATAATTCCGACGACAAATTCGAGCAAATAATTGCAGTTGCTGGACATTATCTAAATCAATTAGAGAAAAAGAAAATAAAGAAATTTCTTCGACGATATCGTCACATTTTTGTACCAAATGGAGGAAAAACAGGAAGAATTTCTGTCGTAAAACACAAAATTGACACTTGTGATGCCAAGCCGATTTGTTAATCTGCTAGAAGATTACCAAAGGCCAAGAGAGAGGAAGCTGAAAGGATTGTTCAGGAAATTAAGGAAGAACGGGTATAGAACCTTCTACCAGCCCATGGGTCTATCCGGTAGTCCTGGTCCAGAAAAAGGATGGAACTACGAGGGTCTGTGTGGATTACCGTCAGTTGAATAATGTTACCAAGAAAGACAGTTACCTTCTGCCTCGTATCGACGATACCTTAGACACATTGGCCGGAAGTAAACTATTTTCTACCTTAGACCTAAAGTCTGGATATTGGCAGGTAGAAATGGACCCAGTAGACAAAGAAAAGACAGCTTTTACCACCGGATATGGATTGTGGCAATTCAATGTCTTAACATTTGGACTATGTAATGCCCCCGCGACATTGGAAAATGTATTGAGAGGGTTATCATGGAAAACGTGACTGGTATATTTGGATATGTCTTGGGGAAGACATTTGATGAACATCCAAAGAACTTAGAAGATGTTTTTAAAAGACTTCAAGCTGCCCAACTGATGCTAAATCCCAAAATAAAGTCAATTACCTGGGTCATATAGTCAGTAAGGATGGCGTGGCTATAGATAAGGAAAAAGTCGCTTCTATCAAAGAAAGGCTGCAACCAACTGTTAAACATTACAGTAAATTAACCTGGGAAAGTCATATTGATTCCATATCAGAAAAACTGGGTAGTACGTGTTTCCTTATCCGTCAAATTAAAGGCACACTTAGTTTTGATTGGTTTACTATGGTCTTGTTGAATCGATTTTATCTTATCTTATAAATAAAGTATTTTGCATAAAGAAAAAAAATTTTAAGGAGTTTAACCAGTGTCATACAGAACAAGTTGCAAACATCTTTCTACCAATTTATCGATTTTAACCGTTTCATCCCTATTGATATGATATTTTGACTAATAATATACGTTAAAATTCAGTTAGAATTTGCAGTAAAATACGGAAAGACATGACCATTTCACCCGCTCACAGGGACATTTAACACAATCTTTTTCAATCTTTTTCTAGGCTAACTGTTAGCCACATATACAGAGGAATAGCTAGTTTTAATAGATACACAAATATCCATGGGGACATTGGAAATTTCAGATTGTTTAAAACGAGGCTACATACATATCTGACCACGAAAGCATTTTATAGTTTTGATAAATTTTTAAATTCTTAAATTTATTTGGTATATTTTATTTTTTTGACAAGTCCGATAAATTTTATTTCAATTTGTATATGTGTATTATAATTGTGTAAAATTTTATAGATGAGTAACTTCCTCCATAAAAAGTAAAACTCATCAAAACAAAGCGAAAAATGCTTAAAGAATACAGGAAAAACCTAGCCAGGAAATCAAAACAAATATCAACAACTTTAACAGAGACACAAAAATTAGTAAATGGATGCAAATCTTCGTTGTTAAAATTATAATTATTCGAATTTTGGCTATTGTGAATAGTTTTTATAAAAAAAATTTTCATCTAAATAATAATTTGAATCTATATTTACAAATATTTCGATTACATGTTGGTATCTAAGGAGTCAAAAGTCAATTCGATCTGATTATTATATGTTTGGATTATACGAAGCAGGCTTTTATATTTAATTTTGAATCTTACCTGTACGTGTTGTGTTCGATGGTTTTCAAATTTCATAAACACCAGCGGCGCTAACTTTCCCAAAACGATGGTCCTCATGATTTTTGGAACAGCTGAACCCCTGACGCCTCTATGATAAATATTGAGGGTGACTACGGATAGAGCTGAAGCGAACGAGACCAGACAAATACTGACACCGTAGTACATACCTAAAAAAAATTGATAAACTAATTATAAACTAAAATTAAAAGTGAGTATAAGGGGTTGATCAAGAAAGTGATAAAACAGGAAGTACTTTAGACAAAGATATTTAATAGCAACTTAAAAAGGTATATCTTCTACATTTTAATAACAATAATAGTGTTAAAAAACTATTAATATGTACCTAGTTCTTATGTATGCATCAAGAACAACAAATAAATTAGTTAAAGTTTAAAATATATGAAATGATTAATGACACAGACAGAGTTAGTACCAAATTACTATCAAAGAAATAGAGGAAGGTATGATAAAAAAATATGATCAATTTTGTTCCTGGTACAAGCAAAAAAATTAAATTTTTTTCAATCTTGCTGATTCACTAGCCAAGAAAGCAGCCAACCAAATACTTTTTGGACCTGGCCCTTCTATTGGCCTGAAAAAATCGGTAGTGACAGACCTAATCAAAGAACATTCCCTTGTGAAATTTAAGAAAAGATGGGATGAAACAAGAAACTGCAGAGTTGTCAGAGAACTCTTAAGTTATCCTGACAGCACTGCAGCAAACAAATACTTACACTCTGCAGAGGGTGCGAACAAGAAGATGAGACCATCGAGCATATCCTTTACGATTACTCGACGCTCTCATTTATTAGAAGATTTGTGTACGGCGAGTATCGGCTAACACCGGCTGATATAAGAGAAGCACCTCTTGGCGACGTTGTCAACTCTATAGGCTGGCTCACGAACTAAAAGGTGCCTATCATCTCAGGATGCTCAACGGGCCTAATGAGGCCTAAGGGGGGCAACCCACCCTCCATACGTTATAGATTCAGATAATATAATGATTTATGCTGGAACACATTATATGAAGTGTATACAAAAATATTTATCGCATTTTTTCATCCAATATCTTTTATTCAACAAATTTTTTCGTCAAAAATATTTTCTATTTTTTCATTCAAAATTTTTTTTATCCAATTTTATTTTCATAAAAATTTTTTTCATTCAATTTTTTTTTTCGTCCAAAATTTAACATTTAAATATTTTTCGTTCAAATTTTTCTCATTTTTTTATCCGATCTTTTTTTTATTCAAAATTTTTCATCCGATCTTTTTTCGTCCAAAGTTTTTTTATCCAAAATTTTTCATCTATTTTTTATTTAAAATTTCTTCATTTAAAATTTTTTAATCAATTTTTTTTATCCAAATTTTTTTTTTCAACCACAATTTTTTTGATCTATATTTTCATTCAACATTTTTTCCATCCAACATTCTTTGTAAAAAAAATTTTTTCGTCACACATTTTTTTATCCAACATTCAACCTTTTTTCATCCATTTTTTTAGTAAAAATTTTTTCATTCAAAATGTTTTCTTCTATTTTTTCATTCAACATTTTTTTATACAATTTTATTTTCATACAAATTTCTTTCATTCAATTTTTTCCAACCAAAATTTTTTCGTCCAAATTTTTCTATCATTCTTTTATCCGATCTTTTTTTTTATTCAAAATTTTTCATCCAATCTTTTTTTCATTTAAAGTTTTTTCATCCATTTTTTATTTAAAATTTTTTCATTTAAAATTTTTAATCAATTTTTTTTTTCTACTATTCCTTTTGATCCATATTTTCGTTCATTTTTTCCATCAAACATTTTTTTGTAAAAAATTTTTTCGTCCAACTTCATTAAATTTTTTTTTCATCCAAATTTTATTCAAACCAAAATTCTTTTCATGTATTATTTTTTCATGCAGCATTTTTTAATCAACAATTTTTCAATAATCTTTTCTTTTATCCAACATTTTTTTCATTCATTATTTTTTCATCCATTTTGTTCATGCAACAATTTTTTCAACAAAAATATTTTCATTCAAAATTTTTTCATCCAATTTTTTGTTTTCATACAAATTTTTTTCATCCAAATTTTTTTAAACCATTATTATTTTCATCCATTCTTTTTATGCAACATTTTTTTTAATCAACAATTTTTCAATAATCTTTTTTTTATCCAACATTTTCCAAATGTTCATTCTTTAGAACTATAACCTATTAAATGCAAAGAAATTGTTCTATTTACAATCATAAAATACACACTTGCTTCCGAAATTTATCACTCATGATAAAACTTTTACAAATCTCGTTCATTACAAACTCTTTAGCTAATCGTATCGCATATAAATTTTACCAAAATAACCTCAAAATATCCGGCTCGAAGGACCATGTTTGCGATGGGGTGAAGCACCATAAACAACCTTTAAAAATTGTAATTTTAAAATTAACTTTCTTTCAGTTCACTCATAGTCACTGACAACCGATGTTTATCCTTAATAAAACACCCAATAGATGACAAAATACTGCAACTAAATAAAAGCTCAGTTATGTGAAGTTAAATATCAAATGAAATTTCTTTTAAGCATAATTATCTTCAGTCTGTACAACTGTTTTAAATTCACGATGCATTTTCTTTTTAATTCTTGCGACGTTAAATTCTCGAATTGGTTCAAACGGGAAATCTATCATTTATCTCATTTTGTAAAAAAATAGCTTAATGGAAATGGCTTTTATTCGACGTATTCTATGTAGATAGATATACGTTTTCATCATTTGGTTTTGTGCTTTTAAAAAAAGTTTTCTTTTGAAGTTTTGCGCCTTTAAAGTTTTATCCATGCGATGTATTAAGCTTTTTATCCTTTTATGGATCATTTAAAAATCTGAATATAATGTCCTATTGTAAATGATGGGTAAAGGGAAAAACCAACGATGTCCATTTTATAGGAACTTTTAAGTAATCAACTTGTTGATGATACCGAGTCCCAAACACATGCAAAATTGTAAGCGAATGAAACAAACTAATGCACAAGACATACCAAAGACGGCATTTATGGCTCTCGATGCCACTACGAGTTCACTCTAATGCCGTTTGGACTTAAAAATGCTCCATCGACTTTTCAAAGAGTTATGGACAATGTCTTAAGAGGATTAAATAATATCATTTGCATTGTTTACTTAGATGATATTTTAATATTTAGCACTTCATTACAAGAACATATTTCTAGAGTTAGAGATGTATTTGATAGGTTGAGAAAAGCAAATTTCAAAATTCAACTGCATAAATCTGAGTTTTTACAGAAAACAGTTGCTTATTTGGGTCACGTAATCACACCTGAGGGAGTGAAACCTAATTTCGATAAAATAAGGGCAATTCAAAACTTCCCAATTCCACGGACACAAAAAGAAATAAAATCCTATTTAGGTCTGTTAGGCTATTATCGTACATTCATTAAAGATTTTGCTAATATTACAAAACCTATGACTATCTGTTTGAAAAAGATTGCGAAAATAATTCACAATCAAAATTTTATTGAATGTTTTAATACTTGTAAGAAAATTTTATGTAATAGTCCGATTCTTCAGTATCCTGACTTTTATAAATCTTTTATACTAACCACCGACGCATCAGACGTTGCCCTCGGTGTAGTATTATTTCAAGGTATCGTAGATGAGGATAAACCAATGGCGTACGCGTCGCGAACTCTTAACGAAACGAAACAGAGGTACAGCACAATAGAGAAAGAACTTCTGGCAATTGTGTGGACCTGCAAGTATTTCCGTGCATATCTCTTTGGGAAAACCTTTACTATTCAAACTGATCATCACCGGTTAGTCTGGCTGTTCAATTTAAAAAAACCTAATTCAAAATTAATAAGATGACGCCTCAAATTGGAGAAGTATGATTACAAAATAGTTTACAAAAAAGGCAAACTAAACAGTAATGCAGATGCTTTAAGTAGAATTAAATTAAATGTACTTGAAACTGAATCTACAGATAATAACCCAAGTGATATAAATATAGAAAGCTTAGAAACTTTAAAAAATATAGCCGAAAACCTCAATAATTACATTTCTGATAAAGATTTCAAAGAAGCTGGTCCTAGTTATAAACAAAAAAATAAATCAAAAATAAAAATAATCTCAGATTTAAATAAAACCTCCAAATCAATCTGATTATGATGAGACTTTCGAAAGAAGTCGAAAATGATGGCATTCTCATATTGGACGAAATAATTAACAATAAAAATAATCAAATCTTAGTTTTTAAACAAAATAATGAACAAATAGTTGTTAAAACCGTTGTTAAAAAAAAACAATAGATTTTCTAAAAAAATATTTAGGTCCTAATAAAACCTACCAATATATATTTTGATGATAGAAAATTTAATGAAATATATACAGACATATTTAAAAAGGATATTTTAAAATTAGTAATGTGTACACGTTTAGTAAATACTATTAAAGATATTGATGAACAAATAATTTTAATGAAAAATCATCATGAGGGGAAAACCAACCACCGAGGTATTGAGGAAACATTAAAATATTTAAAGCGAAATTATTATTGGATAAACATGCAAAAAACAATCACGTCATATATTAACTCTTGTGGCATCTTGTCAGTGAACTAAATATGCTCAAAAAAATCCCTATATACCATTAAATTTAACTGAAATAACATTAAAACCATTTGATGTAATACATATAGACATTTTTCACTACAATAATTAATCCCTTTTCAAAATTTATTCAGTCTATCCCTATTCCAGGTAAAACAGCAATAAACATTTGTGACGCTTTAACAAAATATTTTGCAAGTTTCGGTATACCTAAAACAATTGTCCTAGACAGTGGCTTGGAGTTTAAAAATAATACAGTTCGTGAACTTCTAAATTTACATAAAATAAAAACACATTTTACACATAAAAACACATTCAACATTGAGCAAACATTTACGAATCCTAAAAGAGTTGTACCCTAATGATGATGATTTAATAATTAATTATGCCATTCTTGGATATAATAGCTCAATACACAGTGCGACTGGTTTTACACCTTTCGAACTTGTATTCGGACATACAAATTCCAGAAATCCTGAAGAAATATTTATGCCTAAAGAGTTATTTTTAAGTTATGTCCAAAATCATAAAGATAAAATAGAACACGTATATAATAAAGTTAATGACTTTATATAATTTTATTATTATTATAGTATTTTATGTAAAACGTGCCTTCAAAATTTCTTTTAAAACACGGAGTATGTATTCCTCTTAATAAATAAAATGAAATAAAATGCAATTTTAACAAAGAATCTTCATCGTGTAATAACTTTAAATAAAGCAGTAATTAACTTTCGAACCTTCTTTTCTTACTACTAATTAAGTCAAATTTCTCCATTATTCTAACTACCTATTCAATTTTCAATTTGTTCATCTAAAGTTTTTAGTTTTATACCTACTGAAAAGTTTTTAATAACATCTGTTAAACGTCTTATCTGCTTGGAAAAGTTTCAGGCAGACATGTTTTTGGATATAATGAGAATCTTTAAAATTTGTCAAGGCAAGAAGATGCGGAATCTGAGGTAGAAAGTTACGATGGAAGAATTTAGTTTCGTATTTTCTTGCAGTTGGACATTCGTCACACGTTATACATTTTTATTTAATCTAAGTTTAACTCACAATTCCTGCTGGATTTACAATAATATTTATCAGACAGTTTAGCGTCTTTAATAAAAATTATAATTGTATGTCATATGAGAAAGTATGAAGTTCATAACTTTTTAAAACGAAAGGCAGCTGTGATACGTAGATAACAAATATAAGGGGGCATTAAATTGAGCTCTGAGGAATACCAGAGTAGACGGGTAAAATATCAGAAGACATTGTAATAACTGAGATAGTCTGTCTAAATAACTACTTAATAAAACAATAGTTTTCATTGAAATATATTCAAGAATCATTCAATGGCCAATCGTTCAAGAATGGTTTCAGAATTGTTCAAGAATCGTTGAGAAATCGTTCCAAGGATCGTTGAAGAATCGTTCAAGAATCATTCAAAAATGATAATGATCTTTATGACACTAGGTACAATTAAAATTATATGAAAATAAAAGCAAAAATAATAATGTGAAACAAGAGGTTAAAAATGCAACTTACTGATTAGAGGAGTCTTCTCTGTAGGTGGTAACGTCTCTCTTATCGTCATGAGAAACACAGTCATCGAAAGGAGAGCGCTAATGCCCAAAGTTACTTTTTCTCCAGATTCAGATGGAACATAGAACACCAGCAAAGCTAAGACAATAAAAAACAAAAATATGGAATAATATTATCAATCAATTTCACTTACTGATTGAAAACTATTGGGAAACTGATATATTATTTGATACAATAAGTTTGGACTAGTATAGAGCAGAATAATGTAAAATAGAACTAGTTTAGGTTAAAAGAAATTTAGAATAGAATAGGTTAGGTTAGAATAGCATAGTTTAAGATAATTTAGAATAAACTAGATTAGTATAAAATAGAAAAGGAAGAATGCATTAAAAAAAAAAGTTTGCACTACTATATAATAGAAACATATAAAATAGAATGAGTTAAGATAGAATAGAATATCAAGGTAAATATAACTCAAATTGTTTATGTTCTACCAACTTTCTTGTATTAATTAATATCAATCTACCTAGAATATTTTAACTAGTAACAAACTTACTTACCTATGCCGTTTATAAGAATGCAGGGCAGTATCAAATTAAAAACGTAAAATAACGGTCTTCGTCTTAGTTTTATCGTATAGGTTATATCTGGATACGGTTCTGGACAGCAGGAATAATATTCAACGTGTTTAACTGATGAAAAACTAATCAAATCGAATTCGCCGTTGGCTTGGTAGTTGCTTACGTCACCTTCTTCTGTTTGCTTCACGAGTTCGATCTGTAAAAGATTAGATTTTATAATTTTTATTATCTTTCAAAATTTTTCGTTTGACCAGGCAAATATGTAAACAGTTCTATGCTGATTTAATATTAAATCCAACGTACACATCATTCAAATTAATTAAAGTTTATTTGACAATTTGGAAGAATAGATTTTCTTTTTTAAAACTGGCGTATTAAAATGGTTATTTGATTAACTAGGCAGGGAAGTAACAGATTTACTGCCGCAGCTAGCAAGGCAGTAAATAATTTTCTTTCTGATTGTTTATACAGTTGCTAAATCTGACATTCCGAAAACAACCGTAATCACTCCTTATTTGAATTTCCTTTTATGACGTTTGGCCCTTGCAATGCCGCTCAAACATTTCAAATATTTATGAATATCGTCCTTCAAGGTTTAGATTTTACCTACTGTTACATCGACGATATTTTAGTGGCCAGTAGGAACTAAGAAGAGCATTTAGAACATATCAGTATTATCTTTTCACGGCTGCAAAACTTGGTGTTGCACTAAAACCGTCAAAATGTCTTTATGGTGTACCAGAAATAGAATATTTGGGATACCTAATTTCCACCAAAGGAAGCGAACCGCTGCCAGAGCGAGTCAGAGATATTCAGTCTTTTCCTAAGCCTAAGACAGTTAAAGAACTACGTTTTCTTAAGCACGCTGCTCTTCACCAATCTCTACTTAATGAGTATCTAAAAAATTTTACGAAAAATGACTCACGACCGATAGATTGGATCATCGAGTTTGAAAAAGTATTCGAACAATGTAAAAAAGATTTAGTAGACAATACGCTGCTCGCTCATCTACTTGAAGATGCAGTTCTTTGCTAGACATCGGATGCCTCTAGCACCGCCATTGGGGCATCATTAGAGGAGCTTAATCAAGGAACATGGAAACCTCTTGGTTTTTTTCATCAAAATTATCTTCAACCCAGAAACACTACAGTACATATGACAGGGAGCTTCTTGCAATTTATGAAGGGATTAAGTACTTTAGATACATGTCGCAACTGATCATAAAAACGGATCACAAGCCATTGATTTACGCTTTTCAGCAGAAAGCAGATAAAGCATCTCCGACAGCTTGATTTTATAGGCCCATTTTCTACCCAGTTTGTTGGAGGGGAACAAAATCCTGTGGCTGACTTTTTAACTCGAATGGATAAAATTTTTGTATCTTCCACTTTAAAAACATAATAGGAACTAAATAGGGAACTACAAGATATTCTTATGGATAACCAAACTTCGTTAGAAATTAGTAAATTCACACCACTAGGTTCTCAAGTCTCTATTTTTTGTGTGATGTATCAGGTGAAAGGATTCGAGCATTCATTCCCAAAACCTTACGCTATACCGTTTTCAATAATCTTAATCCCGGAGTAAGAGCTACGGTAAAATTAAATCAGTAAAAATATGTATGGCCTGGCTTGGGTAAAGATATTGCTCTCTGGACCAAATCATGTATTCCATGCCAGAAGTCTAAAATTCATAAACATAACAAAAGTGTTCTTAAAGAATTTCCAGTTCAGGACAAAAGATTTCAGCACGTTCATCTGGATATTATAGGTCCACTCCCATCTTGCGAAGGATTTAGGTACTGTCTTGCCCTAATCGATCGCTTTACTAGATGGTCTATAGAAGTACCAATAGAGGACATTTTTGCAGAGAAATTGCATCAGCATTTTATGCAAACTGGATATGTATTTTTGGCTCACCTTGTACAGTTTGAATCCTCACTTTTTTAATCAGTAGCTAAGATAACTGGAACTCAAAGAAGAAGAATCTCAGCATATCATCCTTAATCGAATGGTATCCTAAAACGGTGAGTCAATATGCTCCCTACTATTTTGTTGGGACTGACTTGTTTTAAAAAAGACCTGCAGTGTTTTACTGCTGAATTGGTTTTTGGAACGCAGATCAGAATCCCAGGAGACGATAGTAATGATTGCAATGAAGTAGTTTTTGCAAGCCATCTAAAGTAGCAAATAAGAAAATTGTGCCCTGTCCCTACCGCAGTCCATAAACAGAGTTTCTGTTTCGTGCATTCTGATCTCAAGAAATGCAGCCACGTTTTTATACGAGACGATTCAATTAGAAATCCCCTGCAGCCTTCATTTTTAGGTCTTTTCAAGGTTTTGTCTCGTTTTGACAAATTTTTCAAGTTAGATATCAATGGAAAAGATAAGAACATATCGTTAGACAGAATTAAGCCAAAAGTGAGAAATCGTCTCATGCAATGATTTAAAAAAGACTAGTACCAATAAACACATAAAATTATAATTTTTTTTATAAAATATTAAATATATAAGAGTATATATTATAGCAAAAAGTAGAATATTTCACAGTTTCGCATTTATAAAGAATTCACTGAGCAAAACAGTTTTCAAATGTCTATTAAAACTGGTAAGGTGGAAAATCTTGATGTTTGGGTGATGGTACTATTATTCATACATGTTTAAATAGCTTTAGAGATGAAGGGAAGCAGCGATAACAGTCTATAGTTGAAGCACTTTTGACTATCTTAAATACTTGAGACACAAAACCATTACTGAAAGTGAAATTTAAATATTTTAACAATTTCAATCTTAAATTCTTTAAGTACATATCTCTACTGATATTGTGACTTCTTTACATGCCTTTGTAGATTTAATTTTTTCAATCATTTCTTTAATTTCATGGTGTGTTGTGGTCTATAACTTAAATGTAGTTCTGTTAAATAAATTTCTTGAAATGAAAATAGTTTGAGATATTTTCTGTGCTAATTCTGGACCAATTTTAGTTCATTTGCAATATAATACCTTACAGTTTTATTTTCCATAACTATTTGCAATATGTTTACATCATTTTTGTTCAGATGTTCATGATGCATAAAGGAAATCAATATTTTTCATTATGTACATTTAAATCTAATAATTGTTTTTGGTAATATAACAAAAAGAAAACATAACCTTACAATTTCAAAACTTTTTAAGTTCCACAACTATTTTGACGATTGGACAACACTGCAAGGCCGTGACGTCATAAATGATTTCTGACGTGCATCGAGATTTGTATTAAAAATACTATACATGTGAGACTATCGAAAACATTTTGTACTTATATAAAAAATCTGATGTGTCCAACACATGACTTTCCTATCTAGTTATTACAGGCTTTTTCCGTTTATTATGTACAACCTATTGCAGCATCTCTATAAATGTTTGGAGGATAAACTAAATATATACATTGTCCACATACATCTACCGCGAAACATTTTTCTATAGATATTCATTGAAAATGAAAATACTGAAAAATTTAAATTTAGCACTTTTCCTACAATTTTTCCATTACGGTCCATTTAAAAAAAATCATGTATGAACAAATATTATAGAGATCGATATCGCAAACAACTTTTATTTCAACAATTTTCATAAAAATCAGAATTTTGCACATTTTGTCAAATTTCTCGAATACGGACCATTTCAGGAAATTTTTACATAAAGCAAAAGTTATAGATAATAATATTAGAAGTAACTTTTATTTAAACAATTTTCTTCTCCAAACATAAATAACAGATATATTCCATAAAATATAAAAACGGCCTCCCATAAAGTACCCCCCCAGATGTTCCCACTTTGTCCAAAATCTAATCATTTCACGTCAGGCCGAAATAAAACTTAAGTTTAAAATTTATTGATTTTTTCTTTATCCGTTTTTGAGTTTTCTTCAAATTTCGAAATTTAGACATTTTCTCAAATATCTCGAATACGGTCCATTTTAGAGAAATTATCTATAGGACAAAAATTATAGAGAATTATATTACAAACAACTTTTGTTTGAACAATTTTTATAAAAAAAATATTTTTTTACATTTTGTCAAATTTATCGAATACGGACCATTTTAGGAAAATTTTGTAAATAACGAAAATTATAGATAATAAAATAAGAAGTAACTTTTATTTAAAAAATTTTCTTCCCCAAACGTAAATAACAGATATATTCCATAAAATATAAAAATGACCACCTATAAAGTACCCCCCAGATGTTCCGACTCTGCCCAAAATCTAATCAGCTCATTAGACGCTGGAATAAAGCTTAAGTTTGAAATTTGGTGTTTTTCCGTGTATCGGTTCATGAGTTATGCGTTATACAGACACACACACACACACACACACACACACACACGCACGCACGCACGCACGCACGCACGCACGCACGCACGCACGCACGCACGCACGCACGCACACACACACACACACACACACACACACACACACACACACACACACACACACATCATCGCGAAAATAGTCAAAACGGATTCAGGGGACCTCAAAACGTAAAAATCCGTCGAAAACTCGAGGTCGAAAAAAATCATGATTCCTATACTTTCCTTATATCTGTATACAGATAGGAAAGTAAAAATTACAAACTTTTAACAAAAACTTCACGTTTTGGGTAAATATTTGAACTAAAAACAATCTCGCAATTAACAAAAGACAAACATTCCACGTGCCTTAAACACCAACAACGCGAAAACTATAAAATTTAAATTAAAACGAGTACGCTGCTTTTAATTGGAGGTACGTAGATAAAATAGAAATGAAAAATATTCTTTTCAGTTTTGTTTAATCAAGCAAGAAATATACCTGTCTTATTAATTTTAGTCTGGATCATGGTAATTCTATGCAGAATTTATATTTTCAAGTTCCAAATGGATTGCGCCGAGTTTTAAAAGCCAATTATGAAAAGTTTCTAAACATATTTATCTCTGACTATCTTATATTATACTCATTATACAGTTCTTCAAAAATAATAACATTAATTAATTACTGTTTGCTTTTTGCGTCAAAGCTCACTGTCAAGTATCAACTTGTTTTCAGTTACTTATTGTTATAATTAGACCAAGAAAAATTATTAAAAAATGTGAAAGAAGGTCCAAATGGGACTTGTCAACATTCTTAAAAGAAAATATCGGTAGGTACATTTTGAATTTTTGCAATATCTAAGAAG